ATCAGAAGTGAGCACCAGCATCTGTTAACAGCTAACATTCAGACAAGAGACAAATACTTTCAATCCTAATTCCCTATTGATATGATGAAACCTGCTTTAACATTTCAATTGCCTGTTTTTGAAATAACAGGTTGAAGATGTGGTGAATAACAATGAATAAAAGCAGACTGAACCAGTTTGCTATATGCCAGGATTTTATAGCAAATCTCTGTATTTATGCTTAAATTTTGAACACATAAAACAGAAATAACACACTGAATTAATCCAAGAGCTCTAGAAGTGATGATCATAAGTTTTCTTACCTTTTGTGCTTAACTATAAATTTGAACGCTAGTTTTCATAGATGTATGTGAATGGTGACTAGATTGGTTGTTATATAGTTACTTAGGTCTTACTGACCATTCAAAATGCTCATTTGCATATTCTGGCATCTGGGCTGGAAGACACACCCAACAACCAGCTTAACATCCAAGTGCCTCATTGGTTTGATCTTCACCAAATCTATATTTAAAGGTACAAATGCACACAACAGCACTGAGCTGATGTGGCTACTTAAACAAAACAAAGTAAGCTGGCACATAAATACCTCAGATATTTATGTTGGACCCAGTCCATCAGTTGCAGGCATTGCTTGACAGATTTGATCTCCTGGAGCACTTTGTGCAGGATATTCGATGTCTGATGGTTGGACCAATCAATGACACTCTGTTGTCCCAAATTAAGCTCTATGAGGTTGTAAAGGCTTTCAGAGGACACCCCAAGACACTGAAGGAGTTCCATAAGTGAGGTGCTTTGTTGTCTCTGCATGGATTGCTCCTCTGCAGTGTTAAAGGAGTTCTGGGCCAAAGGGTTCTCATACCCGTGTCCTGCACAGTCATGTCCTATGAAAGAGCCAGAAAGAACAAACAAACATGTGAACTCTACATTTGTTTCATGTTTTGACTTGATCTAAGCCAAATGAAGGGGTTATATATTTTTTTTCTGATAAAAAGAGGCACCGTGCCAAGATATGTGACAATGAGCCTGTCAGAGTTTGCCAGCTTCTAATAAAAGCCTGGGTGATGTAATTGTGAATGAATGAAGTGCCAGAGACTAAGCAATTTATCAAGCTCATCCTTACTCCTGATGCTCTTTCCATTTGAGCTCAGGTGATTTTTTTCTCCATTAAGACAACAAAGTCTACCACTGAGTTGGTCCCTTTGAGAAGGACTAATAGGTGTCAGTTTTAACCCTCTCAGACTCAAATTAAGTTTTTTGTTGCTAATGCACAACCAAGACCTGCAGTGGTACTTCTGAGTTTAAAAAAAACTCATAAAATATGTATGTGGGGTAATCAGGTTGTTAGTTTTTAACTGTTGCAAATCGGCAACGCCTGCCTCGAGAGGGTTAACATTGGTGATAGTCACCTGATGCCATTGGTTATGAGTCTTATTGTCTACTTCCTTTAATCTTGACATTCCACTTGTAGTTTGTGGCTAGTTTCTGGCTACAGTGCATGTTTTTTTCACTTAATCATATCCAAACATAAAATTCGCTTTGTTTTCGGATAGGAGGAAGTAAAACCAGCATTTATGATGAAATTTAAGTGTGCACTTGATTAGATAAGTAGTCAGCCTCTACACTTATCGATATTAACTTGGGAATGCATGTTGGGACATATTTGTTTGGAAATACCCTGCATAGCAGAGGCTAAGCTGCGCTGCAGTTTGATGCTCTAATATGCAAATATTGCAACGTCACTTTGTTGCCGCTTCAGCAACAGCTTACGCTGCTCATGTGTTAAACTAGTTTTTATTTCTGAGTTAATGGCCTATCAGTAACAATCAATCAATTAATATCGATTATTTCAAACAAATATAAAATAGCCAGTCCGTGGATGATTCCAGTTATTATTCCCTGCTACATATAAACCATACAGATGAAGGATTCCCACAGTAACAATAGTAAAGCGCTCTTACCGTCTTGTATGTTGTTGTTATTTTCTATTAAAGGTTTCTTGCCCTCACTCATCCGAATCTTCTTGTTTCTGCTGAAAATCTTCTTCATATCGACTTTTAACTGCTCGCTCTTTTAGCAAAGACGATGCTTGAAGATCTGCAGTGTCACGTTTCAGTAATGCACTCCTGGCAGCGCTGCGCGGTGTGGAGCTTATAAAGCAGTGGAAGGGATTTTCCCATAGCATCACTGCGACTGTACAAAATGCTTTCGTTTCTGCATCATTTGACATCATCCTAACAGCAATGATGCAATGTGCAATAATAATAAGAATAATAATACCTACAACTCGCGGAAGAAAGCCTGTTGTCCTCACTTTTGTGAAATTTGTGAAAACATCCTAACATTTAAATAATATATCGCTTTGGGGGGTTAAAGTGTGAACACTGT